TTGTGATAAAAACTACAAAATACCAAAGGGGGGAAAATCATTTGAGGTGCACAGTAATCAAGAAAAGAGATAAAGATTGACTGAGTTTTCTTCTAATTGTCAAAAAAGACTGATTTTGCGAGCATATACACTCCTGTTCTGTCATATGGTAAAATCTTTGATTTCAGGAAATGTATACATAGATAGGAGAGTCTCAAACTGAGATGTGGCAATAAATTGTCATATATTATTGTTATTACTATTGTCAAAAGAACCATATTTTTAACCTTGTACATGTTTGCAGGAGTTCTGACTCGTGCAATCTCTAGCTGGTACAAGTAGAAGAAAGTAATATTAAAAGACATGTAAATGATGTCATATCTTTTAGATTAAATGGGCAATGAACAACTATTGCTTAAGTGTGCTGTTATAAAAGGAGTGACTGGTCGTGACTGAAGCACCAAAGGGAAGCCGTCGAACAACTAGTCATTCTCATTGCCAGTATACTGCAGACCCGCCTCGAGGGCTGGACCATGTCCCCGTATCAAAAGAAAATTGTTCCACTTCAAGCAGAAATGTCTCAACCACATAAAGTCAGAAGAAATGCTTTTGTACAAACATACCACATTCATTCGACCACATCGCTACAAGCTAAAAAGAACAATAACAAAGAGAATCACTCGATCCATGTCTCCACTCACCAGCATAAGTTCAAAAGACTTACAGAGAAATGAACCAGTTTATGCTTTTTTTCTTAACGACTACGTCGAGTAGCAACGGATTTTTTCTATTAGAAATGGTTATTTTTCCAGGAGAAGTGCTTCATCCATATCTCCACTCACCAGCAGAATTTGAAAACACTTAGAGAGAAATAGATCATTTTATGTTTTCTTCTTAAGGACTACGTCGAGTAGAAATGGATTTTTCTATTAGAAATGGTTATTTTCCCAAGAGAAGTGCTTCATCCATATCTTCGCTCACAAGCAGAAGTCGAAAACACTTAGAGAGAAATGGATCATTTTATTTTTTCGTCTTAAAGGATGTTTCTACCAGAAATCGATTTTTCTATTAGAAATGGCTATTTTTCCAAGAGAAGTGCTTCATGCGTATCTCTATTCACAAGCAGAAGTCGAAAAGAGTTGGAGAGAAATTGATTATTTAGTTTTTATTCCTGAGGGATGTTTCTATGGGAAATGAGCTTTTTGTTGTAGAAATGGTTATTTGTGCAGAGAAATGCTGTATCACGTCTGCATGCGCAAGAAGTCTGAAAGACTTAGAGTTTATATTAAGATGATCTTGCAGTGGATATTGACGTTCAGGAGTAGAAATGATTGAAATATTTCTGTGGAGTGGTTCGTTCTATTTTTTTTACTATTAAGATGAAATGAAAAATATGCAAAGATATATGAATAGATTTCTTTTTTATCTTAAGAACATGTTGTGTCAGGTATCAATTTTTTCTAGGAGAAGGGATTAAAATATCGACTGAAATATTTCATCTATTTCTCTACTAATAAGAAAAAACGGATAATAGTTATTTAAAGAGAAATCAGCAATTGTTTTTTATCTGATGGAAATCTTCTAGCAAATATGGGCGAGATTCTCTTTAATGATTACCTGGTGAAAATATATTTCGAACAATAGAGGTATAATTTGTCTTCATGGGTCGGAATGTTTGTGATTGGTGCAGATTCCGAGTGTGTCATATTCAAGTATATGTACAATATCATATAATAGACTGTATATATATTTATTTTTTTTATTCTTTCTTTCCATTTCTTCTTGATGTGTCTGACTTTATGTGGGGTGAAGCATTTCTCCATAAAGTGGAACAACTTCCCCTATCGATTGGTCCAATCGTCCACTGCTGCCCCCCTCAGAAAATATCTGTGTAAATACTAGATTTTTTGAGAATACTGTACTAAGATTTCCTTAAGGCCGCCCTCCTCTCAAAAAATGTCAATTTTCGTCAAAAATTTCGATTTTGACATAAATGCATAGGAAGATAGCCCGTGATCTGATCTTTCATAAATGACAAACATTTTTTATCGGCACCTCATTTTTTCCAAAAATTTTTGAAGATTTCCGTCATCCCCTATTCGAAAAATAAGCCATTTTTGGAAAAAACCGAAAATCTTTTTCGGTTTTTCTCGGTTTATGATTTTTTGATCTTCTGTCCAAAATTTCTCGGTCCAGTGTCTTTCAATATATATAATTTTTTTTTGTTTGAAAGAGCACGTCAAGATGCAGGGCACCACAGAGTCCTTTTTTTTAATTAAGCTTTGTTTTTTATTATATATACAGACATTTATGTAACGAGGCACCCGTCTTTGGCGCATTTTTTAAGTCATTGAACTTGCGATCCCCTTTCTCCGCTAAAAAAGTAAGAATTTAAAAAAAGGACTCTGTGATGTCCTGCATCTTGACATGCTCTTTCAAACAAAAAACAATTAAATATGTTGGAAGAGCCTGGTCCGAGAAATCTTGGACAGAAAATGAACTATTTTTTGACCCTTGTTTGGTTCATATCTCTGTCAAACCTGATAGTATCGAGCTGAAAATTTTATCACAGCTTCCTCACTTCAGCCCCAACATACGCTCCAAATTTCAGCCCATTTGAATGTACCTGAGCTGAGATCGGTTTTTGAGGGGGGGGGGAGGCCTTAATGAGGAATTTCAATAAAGCTCTGATTTTTCAACTAGGCAATGAAATTGAAAAAAATCAGGAAGTTTACAACAAAACTTCAGTTTAGGTAGTCCCATCGAGACCTCTCGTGCTAAAAGTGTAATGAAATTTTCCAAGTAAGCTGATTCTCGGAACAGATGGAGTGTAAATAAAAAGGATGTAGTTATGGAGAAATAGAATTACACGTGGCAGCAGCTAGTCGTGAGTAGTGCCCCGGAGGAGCGCCGACGAGCGACTAGCCGCTGCACTGGAAAATCCCGCGAAGGACCGCCTCAAACTGATGGGATTCATCGGATAAACGTCAACAGTCGAGATCTAATCGGTTTGAATAGGTGCTAGCAGCGACTAAGAACTGAGAAATATTTTGAAATAAAATGTGAGAACGGTTTTTCTGCACGTACACAACATTTAAATACCCCCCCCCCCCCCCACAGAATAGAAGCCCACCCTATAATAGAAGCCCATCCGGAATAGAAGCCCGCTCCCAAGGTTATAACTTTATAGATGTAATAGAAGCCCACCCCGTTTAAACCTGGCACAAAATAGACTATTTCGAAAATTGAATTAACTAGCTCATTGCTTCTCATTGTTTAATTATAGCTCAGTTTATGTACCTTATTTGCCTTGTGTTGGATATATTTTCTATCAACAGACAATTAAACATTTTTAACTGTTGAAAATATGCACGCACATATTAATAAAGTATAGCTGTCTAAGAACTATTGAATAGAAATTATGCGTGAAACATTGCAGTTCTATCAGGTTTCTTCCTATTATAGAATGATTCTACAACTCAGAAACGAAATGATGGAGATTTTTATTAACTTAACAGTAATATGAGCAAATCTTTGACTGAAAAATGAGACTTCTTACAAAGCTCAGCTACGAACGATATCGGTTACGTGAGAGCTCAACAGACTTAAATACATATACCCACTTGGGATCGTAAGACCCATGTAAAAGTGTATGCAAAATTTAGCGATTTAACGAAATTTAATGTTACCTTTCTGTCCTTGAAAACGCGTTAAAATATGAATTTAGCGAATTTTCACTTGTTTCTCTACGTTAATAATTATTTTAACGCGTTTTAAAGGACACAAAGGTAACATTAAATTTCGTTAAATCGTTAAATTTTACATACATTTTTACATGGGGATATGAATGGTTATAACTCTTATAAGATCTAGACTACCTACCTCTCAAAAAATGTTCAAATCAATAAACGAAAACATAAAGCCTTTTAAGTTCAGATGAAATCGTACAAAAAATCGCGGTCTCAGAAATCTTCCATCAAATCGTACTATAACATTCTTGAAGGATCTTATCGCCACATAAGATTTCCTATAATCTTATAGTGATATCTTATGAGACTAGAAGGTTTTTCAAGAATCTTATGATACGATTGAGCATAAGATTTCTGTAAAAACGGATTTTTTACGATTTTTATCCGATCTTATAAGATCATACAATATCAGAGATACTCTATTGTGCGATGTTATCGTGAGACTGCTTGGTTTGAATGACAGACTCTTATTGTGTAGTCAACAGTCTACTTCATACTTTTTGTTGAGATAATTTAAATCTATCTCGTTTCGTAATTGAACTGTGCATAAACTGCCATAATGAAGTCTTCCAACAGAGCTATATCGTTATTTGTCTACTAAAAATCTTTTAAAATTTTATCAAAACTCGATAATTTGTCAAATCAAGATATTACTTTTACCTCGAGTTTTTGTATCCATAGCAAGATTCATGAAATGCTGGGAGAAGATGAACACTTGAATGGGAAACTTAATGTAAAGAGCACACTACATTGCGAATTTAATAGTACGGGCCCGGGAAAGAACTAGAAGTCAGTCCTTGGTTTCAAGGAAACTATGATAGCTACTCCAAAAGTACTAAGATAGGCTGAAAATTCATATTCGCTAATTTTTAAGATGCTCTGTGATTGCACGATAATTAAATTGTAGCGGCAATGTAAAAAAAAGTTGATCGCAATACAACCCCATGTCCAGGGTGACCAGATCTTCTGAAAAAACAGGAAAGTTTCTGAAATTTGAACCTGTTTCTGATTTTGGTACATTCTTCTGATTTTTTATGGATCCAAAACTTTAAGATTCCAGTTTTGCTGATTAAATTACAGTTACGTACGATTATAATCCATTACCATAATAAATGGATACTGTGACAGCTTTTTTTCTCTATTAATTATTGGTCGTTGGAGTTACACAGTCAGCTATAGTAGTACCCTAAAGTTCGATAAATTCTTGGTTTGACTCATTTTTATGGTCTTTTTTTTTATTATAGTTTACACGAATAAACACTGAATTACGTAATGAATGGTGTAAATATGATTGATGATGATGATGATGATGATGAAGTACAAATTAAAACGACATCGTCAACATCAATATCATCAAAATCATCATCTCTAACAACAAAGAAAAAAAAAGGAGTTTTTCGTGAAGATTGGTTATCGATTGATCAATACTCGTCGTGATTACAAGAAGTAAATCATGATTTAACAAAAGCTCGATGTAAGGCTTGTCTTAAAACCTTTTCTCTTCATTGTGATGGAAAATCAGCAGTCGAAAAACATATGACTAGTTATGTACATAAAAAGTCGATGAAAACGTTCGAGAATAATTGTTCACTAACACAATTTATAACTCCAGAACGTGAATTAGATAAAATTGCAGCAGCTGAATGTGTACTTGTTTTCCATGGAGTAAAACATGGACATAGTTATCGATCTCAAGAATGTACAGCTGATTTAATTCGAAATAAAATATAAATCAATGAATGAAAAGTCAATGGAACGTAGATGCCAACAGTCTAATATAATATCGATTAGT